GCAATTCAGGACATGGACGGAGCAGTACTTCTCCCCGATCCTGTCAGAGACGGCACGGTTTCGCTGAAGAAGTGCCCAGCCTGTAATTGGCTGAGGCTCCTACTGTTGCATTGCGAGCCCCAGCGGCATCCACTAGCGTTTCTTGCCCAACTTGCCGCCTAACTTATTTTGCCCCACTTGCCCCGCTTGATCTTGATTGCATCACTCCCACGCGGGCGGGCAGGTCCGGGCAGTGCCAGCCGGGTGGCAAGTGACCTTCCGCTCTCCCAGCCTCACGGTCAGCCCACTCGAATTCTTGAGGTTCCCCGCACGCCTCCCGTCACCTGCGGCCGGCCCGAAACCAAAACGCTATATACCGCGAACCTCGACTCGGAGTGGCGCTTCGGTGTGGGCAGTGCGGGTGGCAACAAAAAGCGCTAACCCTAAGCTGCTTAAGCTGGGCGTCCCCCCGGATCAGAGCAAGTGGGGCAAGCGGGGCATGTGCGGTGCCGGTTTCCACGTGCATTGTTCTTTTGTGTTTGTTGCCAAGTGCTGGTTGTCCTTGTCATGTGCAGAGAAGCGAGCTCAGGCCGAGTTTCAAGTGCTCCTACTCATGGTGGAACAGTGCCAGCGCATGCACCGTGCCCTTCCCTCAAGTCTTGACTTTGGATCTTGGCTGTTCGGGCTGTGCCACTATGCATCCAACGGGCGGGAGAGATAGAAAAAAAGTGCAGGTAGCCCATGTGCCCAGAAGCCAAGCAAGGTCAGCTTTGAGCACCCAGTACACAGCTGTGCCGAAAGATTATATGAGCGAATGCAAGTCTCTTGGTGACATCTGGATGCGCGGAGACAGCTCTGTGGCCTTGCATTCTGTTCCTCACTGCAGATCTTGTGTCGTGATGCTTGCAGGCTTTTGTTGCAGTGATGCCGGCTTCTTCTCAGGTCTACCGGCATGGATGCTTCTGCATGCCAGACGCGATGGGTGCAGTATCATGGCAGTTCTTGCCATGTTGCCGTTGCCTTGTGCGGCAAAGACAAAGAGTATTCAGTCATGTCACCGTGGAATGTTAAAGTGCCGCCTGTTCTCTTTCAAGCAGCTCCATCCAAGCTGCTCTTCGGTCGGTTGGTGAATGCTGAGCTGCCCCCGCCCCAAACACCAGAACCTTGTGTTCCTTTGTATAAGGTATCTCATCGAGTTTGATGATCTCCTGCAAGCTGGCTGCAGTTTAGACTGGCTGCTGACAAGAAGGGCGGGGGGACGTTAAGCAGATCGGACTGATATGTGGATTTCTTGTGGCGCCTTGTGTGTAGCTTTAACATGTGCTTTAATGTCGCACCGTGCGTTCTACCGGAAATGTCTTCATGACCCGCCTCGGCCTGGGGAAACCTCCCTCCATGGCCCCTATGGACCTGTTACGCTATGCAACCCCTATGGACTTCGACGACTGTATTGTGCCCGGACTCTCCTGCACAGCTCAACCATCGCCTTGTGCGGGCATGTCACGGACTTCTGTATGCCTTCGAGGGGGGCGGCAAGGAAAAGCAGGTCCATAGGACAGAGGGAGTATAGGGGGCAAATGTCGGTTTTCTGTGCTAAAGCTTAGAGGAGGTCCATGGAGGTTTACAAGGGGTCCATAAGACGAAGGACGCACAGGAGTTATGAGGTCATATGAGTCTGAGGTCCATAGAGGGTGCAAACGGGGTCAAGAAGGCTTCAAACCACTCAGCTAATCACTACGTTCTAAATGCGTGCACGGCGCCGCCTCGGCAGACGCGCCCGCCCAAGCCACAGGACGTGCATGACGGCGGCAGTGCACCTGCAGGATTCTCTGGGCGGGCTGCATGCAGATTCTCGAGGAACAAGATGCCGCAGAGCAGCCGACCCATAAATCTGAAACCTTGAGCCCGGCTTTGAAAATAAGTGAGCCTGGGGATGCCTAGGCTTGCCGAGAGAGCCCCGACAGCTCTGTTTGCTTTGATTAGCAGTAAAGGCCTGCGGTCAGCCAGCGTGCTTGGCGCCAGGTGACATTGGTTGGGGGCCTGGATGGGCGGTTGGGAAGGGTTGAGAAGGAGAGCAGGTCCGGGCCCGCTTGTTCCACAATGCCGGTCCGGGGCGAAATCTTTCTGGAGCTTTGGGGGACCAGCCAGGGGTTCCTGAAAATCGGTGGGCATGGACCGTTGAGCCGACTCCTTCCGTGCCCCTGACCAAGAAAGCACCCCGGGAGGTAACGTACATGGGTTGAGAGAGACACATGGCGACCCACGCCTGCCACGTGAAACGGAGGTTCTGGTTCGCAAGTTTGGAGCAGTGCTTTTTTTGCGCCAATTTCTGCGTGGAATCGTTGGAAGCTCGAGTTTAGGATGCGTTTGTCGCGCATGGCCAGGGTTTCGGGTTCACCGCACAGTCGAAACCCTGTCCTGGAGATGAACATGGTTGTTGGGGAAGGTTTAGTATGTTGCAGAAGGAGGCTGCAAGTAGCTGTGTTGTGGGCATGTTCGCAAAAAGGCATGAACACTTGTGACAGCACGCCTGTTTGCAGAACCCCACACGCTTCTGGCCTGGGGCTTCGGCGGGTTTGAGTTGAAAGTGTGGTTGATTCTCGTATATCCCTGACCTTTGCTGATGCCCAACTTGCGATTGGCAGGATGCAGAAAGCTCCACAGGACATAGGCGCGGAGATCAAATTGTTTATGACTCCAGGTTACATGGCTCAGCGCTGGGAAGAGTTTTGTCCGGAGCTTTGCAGCCTTCCTTTCGGGTGTGATTGAAGCAGGAGTTCTCTTCATCGATGGCTTCCCTGTGGTTGCTGCCAACCAGAGCTGGGTTGCTCATGGGTTTCCCCTTGCCATCATCGAGATGTTTCGCAAGGCGCAGTGCCCCCCTCCCCCCCCCTTCCCCGTGTTGTGTCGATACGTTGACCTCTTGGTCCTCTTGTGCAGGCCACCGGGCTCCAGCTAAAGATCACCGAAGAGCATCTCTGCCCAAGCTTCGAGCTTTGTGAGTACATGAATGAGGGTGTGAGTAATGGGCCGAGGCATGTTGAGGCACTTCTGGCCCGACAACAGCGTGTCGAGTCGACAAATGTTTCGAACCTTGCATCCTATGCCCTGCCAAGGATCTATCCTATGACAGCACCTGAGGCAGCTTTCTACAAGATGAAGCCACCCTGCTTGCACAGGGGAAGTGCATGCGTAGTCATCAGCAGCGAGAGGATGAGTCATCTGGGAGATCTTCGAATGTCCTCTGGTGTTCGATCGGAGTAGTGGGCACACATCTGCGAGTTTTGTAGTCTCGGTGAGCTGAGGAACCTCATCATTCAGACTGCTGCCAGCTTCCTGGCAGCGGCCCCGGGGTCAGTATGAGTCAGTATACGAGTGCATGCGCTCTCTTGCTCCTGGATTCCGAGCTCCCCCTTCTACTTTCTATTTCTACTTTGCTGAGATTAGCATCCTCAGCAACTTTGCTTTCTGCTTCGTGCCCATCGCCGTTGTCGGTTTCGTTCTCATGGAGAAGACGAAGGCCGAAATATTTATCCATGAGCAAAGGGCACTGTGCGGAATTGCGAGCTTATCATAAAGTTTGACGCGGCACTTGCACAGAGTATAAAGGCTTGGCAAGCCGAATGCTGGTCCAGGATGTGAAGCACCAGCTGATGATCTCGGGCTGTTCTGCTCGCGCGTATTGGGTCTCAATGCTGATTTGGGACCGTGTGGGAGTTCCCTTCTGTCAATGCATGCTGCAAGACGTACCACGAGAGTAGGTGGTAGCAAGGATCCGAAGTGAGTTCTTGGTTGGCCGGTACAGAGGTTACTGGTGCCCTGAAGGATTGCGCCTTCACCGTGTTTCCAATCATGGCACTATACTTGTTCTTGTGGGCTTATGGCCACTTGTCTTCTTACGACAGACCAGGCAGGTCCGCACGCTGTACAGAAGAAGCTAAGTAGTGAATTGCAGAAGAAGCAGTCCGATTGGTGTGGACATTTCTGGGAGATTAAGGTCGAATACACACAGTAGGACATGTCGAGGTGGATGGATACCAGCAACTCGTTCTCTTGCGAGTCATGAGGCTTCGAAGCCTTCATCTATTACTGGGAGACTTCTTTGGCGCTCCTTCTCCTTTTTACCCCAGCAGCAGTGGGAATCTTGGCAGGAAGCTGCTGTTCGATGCCGTGAGCATGTGCATTTCATGGCACCGCAATGTACAGCATGCACTCTCTGGCAGCACTTTGGACCTGCATTCTGCAGTAAGGGCTGGCATATGTCCTGTCGCATGCTACGTCTTCCCAGATACTAGCGAATGCTTCCTGGCGTGCATCTAGGGCTCACTATGGCTCGTCCGAAACATAGCCAAGCACACAGCAACGGCTGAGCTGAAGATTCCTTCTTCCGTGATTTGCCAGGTGGGCCTCTCGTTGTGCAACGGAGTGCTGGTGGTTCAATTGGCTCGGTGCCCAGTGTCTTGCACGTCGCCCCATCTCCTTTGCATGCCGGTCTAGCAACACCCACCCCCTTGAACCTCCCAGTGAGAAGCATGTAGCAGCAATGTAGCATACAACACTCATGCCGTCGGCGTTAGCTGGGCAGAACCATCATCCTGGGAATTTCTGCATCGCTTCGGCGTCCGGCTTCAGAGACCGAGTGGCATCGGCTATCGTAGGCCGTAGGCCCCACGCACTGAGACTGGCAGCTGCTTGGCAAGGTCGTGGCGTTCCTTTTCTTCGACATCTTTACGAAGGTTATTCCCATCAGCATGACGTTGACTGCTGGTGCCAGCACTCAGTCATCGCCTGGCCTAGCAGAGTCAAGAGTGATGAAGCAGCATGCTTGGAATTTCCTCGGTCCATCGTCTGCTGGTATGGGAGTCAGACCCCCAGAAGAGAAAACGTTTACTTGTACTTGTCATTTGCCGATGTGGTGAAAGGCCTGAGGATGTGAATATAGGTGACAACACAAGCATAAATCGTGGACTTTAACAGCTTGCCGGAGACGCCCTCGCAAAACAGGAAACTGCAGCTTTTCT